ATATTACGTGGTTGCGCGGAGATACGGATTTTATCTTCGAGTGTTGTTATAGTATTACTATAAGAGAAACCGCGAATGTGTTATTTTTCACTACTGAAAATATCAACTTTACGAAATGGAGAAACATAGGTATTTCATAGATAGTTATATGATAAAAGTTGTTAATATAATATAAAAAATTCTTGAAAATATTTGATATTCCTTACTTCTCAGACCGTTGCAGTACTAGCATCCGCATCCTACATTCTTTACAAAATATCACCCATATTCAATCGCAAATAATTCACTAACTACACGCTCAAACAACTCTCAGCTAAACCTCACAAATTATATACAAAGTTTTGAATGCTCTGAAAGGATATGAATGTTATATTTCACTAGTACGATTATGAATAAATCTTTTGGAACTCGAGACAAGGTCATTTTACCTGAATTATCAAGTGATTGAAAATTTGAAAACGACAAATCGATGTTATTTCTTACCTTATCGTTCAGTCAGAATCAGAGAGACTATTAGAGTAGATGAATTGCATCAAATGAATACCCTAAAATAAGGATTTCTTAGTTAAGCTGAAATCGAAGAATATGGCTTGGTATGAAATCTCAAACTCAAAAACAACAGAAGTGATACTCATTCCGATTGGTTGATTCAATAAACCATGACGTCAACACAGAACGACATGAAAGTCTACGAAGGCGGCGAAGGCATGAAATATTAAGTATGCTTTTTAACATGATCGTTCTCTTCCGAGTCGTTATTTTTTCTGTGTATATATTGTAGAAAATATATTTGTAGAGACAAATCAAGATATTTTTGAGAGTTTTTTTTACTGTGTTGGAACTTGAATAGAATTCTCTGTATGTAATTTGCATTTTGCTCACAGTGGGCTACATCGACAGTCAATAGCACTACGTGTACATGTTTTAGAAAGAAAATTATATGGAATTAAAGTCGGCCCAAAGGCAGCCAAAAAAAGAAGGAAGATGTTTCCAATTTGCCTAGTACTTTGTCTAATCAAGAATGAAAACGTTTGTGTTTTGAAGGTCT